GCACTGACCCTCCCACAGTGCGGCGCTCCCTCGGCACTGACCCTCCCTCAGCGCCGACCCACCGACATGATGCACTCCCTCAGCGCCGACCCTCCGACAGTGCGGCGCTCCCTCGGCACTGACCCTCCCTCAGTACTGCCCCTCCGACAGTGCGGCACTCCCTTAGTACTGCCCCTCTGACAATGCAGCACTCCCTCGGCACTGACCATCCGACACTCCCTCAGTACTGCCTCTCTGACAATGCAGCACTCCCTCAGTGCTGACCCTCCATTAGTGCAATGGTCCCTCAGTGCTGACCGTCTAACAGAGTCGTATTCCCTTCAACACCAACCCTTTGACTGTGCTGCACTCCGTCAGTAATGCACTGAATTTCCCACGCTGACTGTAACTGTTTAAGTAAATTGTCAAATAATCTAAACCAACATTTAGATTCTGTCACTCCCTGAGCTTTTCCTTCACATCTTTGTTTTACGTTTCCTCCTCTGCTAAAGTCTGGAAATCAGTCACTCAAACATTTCACAAAAAACAAGAGCTAGTAATATCAACGCCCTTTTACTGAAATACTGCGGCCAGGAAGCCTCAACTACTTTGACCGGTCACAGCCGAAGAGCTTTTCCTTAATGAGAGCTCAGTCCTAAGTGGCTGGGAGCTCCAGCACGACATAATGCAATCTACTTTGACCAAATGAACAGTTTGAAAAGCAAACCTGTACTTTTTAATGTGGCAAGTCACATTACCAACATATTTGATCCAAATTTCTCAGGTCCGTATGTCTGTCCCATCATTGCACTGTAGCCTGAGCTAAAAATGTCCATCCCCTCATGTGTTGTAAGATGCCCAGAATCAGCTGGATGAGTAAATTCATCATCAACATGATCCAAGACCATTCAGAACATCCATCAGCAGCAGTCCCTAAGTAAAGGTTCCTCTCAGTCAGCCCCAGGCCATCACACACTCACTGAAATTGCTAGTCATTTAAAGAGGGTCACAAACGGTCAACAGCAAACAGCACAATGCTGGCAGAAAGGCTTCATGAAGAAGTTGGCATCACTTGGGAAGAAATAGAACCCCAAAGATTCAGGAACCTCAGAAGAAGGGAGGTGATAGTCTTGTGGTATTAGCGCTAGATTATTAATCCAGAGACCCAGATAATGTTCTGGGGACCTGGCTTTGAATCCTGCATTGGCAGTTGATGGAATTTGATTTCAATAATAATCTGGAAATCAGAGTCCAATGATGATAGTAAACCATTGCCAATTGTCAGAAATAAAAAAAAAAACATCCTGTTCGCTAATGACCTTAAGGGAAGGAAACTGCCATCCTTACCTGGTCTGGCCTACATGTGACTCCAGACCCACGGCAAATGTGGGTCACTTTTAACTGTTCCCTGGACACTTAGTGATAGACAATAAATGCTGGCCTAGCCAGCAACGCCTCATCCCATGAATGAATTTTTTTTAAAAATTGCATCCAGCTTGAAACATTTCTCAAATCCCACTTCCACCAATGTTTTTTTGTGACAGAAACTTAATTAATGAGCAGAAAACTAAGAATTATTTAGTGAGTTGGAAGTGACTCCCTGGAGGGTCTGAGTTGCTGTCCCCAGCGAGTGGGAGTGCTAGCACTCACCTTTAGTTTGGTTGTCTTTTCATGCAGCGTTATCATTTCCTTTCGAATGTTAACAAGCTTATTGTAATAACATTTTGCTTCAGTGAACTAAAGAGAAAGAAATAGCAAAACTTACTGTTAAAGTTAACCATATTCAGAAAAGTTTCCATCTAAAACATTTTGAATACAATAACAGAAGACTGAGTACAGTCCATGATGGTCAGTTCCTGCCTCGATTTCAATCACAGGAACAAGATACAACAGAATCTCACAAAAGTCAAACAATAAACAGTTGCTGCAAACTCAGGCAATCTAATGGCTTTAATAACTTCGTTTTAGGATCCAAATAGAAACAGGAAATTGACAACAACCAGGGACAGAAATTGGGGCTGGGAGTACACATCATCAGATTTTTCAAATTATCAAAAATGGACCTGTCTAATTACACAGTGATCAGAAACAAAACCTTCCAAAAAACACCCCAAATGAAGGCATTAATGAACACACCAAGTAGATTTTCCAGCTGGATCCATCCCTCCCACTCACTCACATCCTTCAAACAGGATCAAAATTGGAAGATTTCAGGATTATTTCTCATGGACAAATTATCGGATTTGTTGAATTCACTTGTTGAAATCTGACCTCCTAACCTTTGCTTGCTAGAATAAGACCAGAACTGCTACCATTAATGGAGGTCATCATTTAAAAACGGAAATTAGACTCACCCTATAAAGACTGTGGCTACGAGAGTAGGTCAGAAGCTAGGAATCCTGCAGCGAGTAACTCCCCTCCTGACTCCCCAAAGCCTGTTCATCATCCACAAGGCACAAGTCAGGAGTGTGATGGAATACTCCCCACTTGCCTGGATTACAGCACCTCCAACAACATTCAAGAAGCTCAACACCATCCAGGACAAAGCACCACATTCTTAAGCATCCACTCCCTTCATTAACAACGGTCAGCAGCAGTGTGTACCATCTATAAGATGCGCTGCAGAAATGCATCAAAGATCCTTTCAGTTGTTTCAGCGGCGGGAGTCCGGGAGGAAGCGCGAGGGCAGCCTGGGAAGGTGAGCTTTTCGATTATAAAAATCTTACCTCGCGTGACTCCATTTTTGGACTAAGTGAGGTAATATATTTGGGCGGTTGCTTTACCCGAAACACTACCTAGGTGGTGTCTCCCACCCATCCTCCTCCTCCTCTAACCAAAAAAAAAAAAGGTTCTGAGCACTGATTTGGTAAGGCTACTAGTATTTTATTTTTATTTGTCTGTTTGGGAATTCAGAACAGTGGGAATGGATGTTAGGGCAGTTGTATGCTCCTCCTGTAGAATGCGGGAGGTAAAGGTCACCAGTAGTGTCCCCACTGACTTCATCTGTGGGAAGTGCACCCAACTCCAGCTCCTCAGAAACCGTGTTAGGGAACTGGAGCTGGAGCTGGATGAACTTCGGATCATTCGGGAGGCTGAGGGGGTAATTGAGAGGAGTTACGGGGAGGTAGTCACACCTCAGGTACAGAAAAAAAGTAGATGGGTTACAGTCAGGGGACGGAAAGGGAACAGGCAGACAGTGCAGGGATCCCCTGTGGCCATTCCCCTCAAGAACAAGTATACCGTTTTGGATACTGTTGGGGGGGACGACTTACCAGGGGTAAGCCATGGGGTACAGGTCTCTGGCACAGAGTCTGTCCCTGTTGCTCAGAAGGGAAGTGGGGAGAGGAGGAGAGCATTAGTCATTGGGGACTCCATAGTTAGGGGGACAGATAGGAGATTCTGTGGGAACGAGAGAGACTCGCGGTTGGTGTGTTGCCTCCCAGGTGCCAGGGTCCGTGATGTCTCGGATCGTGTTTTCGGGATCCTTAAGGGGGAGGGGGAGCAGCCCCAAGTCGTGGTCCACATAGGCACCAACGACATAGGTAGGAAAAGGGATGGGGACGTAAGGCAGAAATTCAAGGAACTAGAGTGGAAGCTTAGAGCTAGAACAAACAGAGTTGCTATCTCTGGTTTGTTACCCATGCCACGTGCTAGCGAGGCGAGGAATAGGGAGAGAGAGCAGTTGAACACGTGGCTACAGGCATGGTGCAGGAGGGAGGGAGGGATTCAGATACCTGGATAATCGGGGCTCATTCTGGGGTAGGTGGGACCTCTACAAACGGGATGGTCTACACCTGAACCAGAGGGGTACCAATATCCTGGGGGGGAAATTTGCTAATGCTCTTCGGGATGGTTTAAACTAATTCAACAGGGGGATGGGAACCTGAATTGTAGCTCCAGTGTACAGGAGGTTGAGAGTAGTGAGGTCATAAATAAGGTTTCAAGGTCGCAGGAGTGTACCGGCAGGCAGGAAGGTGGTTTGAAGTGTGTCTACTTCAATGCCAGGAGCATCCGGAATAAGGTGGGTGAACTTGCAGCATGTGTTGGTACCTGTTGTGGCCATTTCGGAGACATGGGTAGAGCAGGGACAGGAATGGTTGTTGCAGGTTCCGGGGTTTAGATGTTTCAGTAAGATCAGGGAAGGTGGTAAAAGAGGGGGAGGTGTGGCATTGTTAGTCAAGGACAGTATTACGGTGGCAGAAAGGACATTTGATGACAACTCGTCTACTGAGGTAGTATGGGCTGAGGTTAGAACCAGGAAAGGAGAGGTCACCCTGTCGGGAGTTTTCTATAGGCCTCCGAATAGTTCCAGAGATGTAGAGGAAAAGATTGCAAAGATGATTCTGGATAGGAGCGAAAGTAACAGGGTAGTTGTTATGGGGGACTTTAACTTTCCAAATATTGACTGGAAACGCTATAGTTCGAGTACTTCAGATGGGTCAGTTTTTGTCCAATGTGTGCAGGAGGGTTTCCTGACACAGTATGTAGATAGGCCAACAAGAGGCGAGGCCACATTGGATTTGGTACTGGGTAATGAACCAGGCCAGGTGTTAGATTTGGAGGTAGGTGAGCACTTTGGTGATAGTGACCACAATTCGGTTACTTTTACTTTAGCGATGGAAAGGGATCGGTATATACCGCAGGGCAAGAGTTATAGCTGGGGGAAAGGCAATTATGAGGCGATGAGGCAAGATTTAGGATGCATAGGATGCAGAAGGAAACTGCAGGGGCTGGGCACAATTGAAATGTGGAGCTTGTTCAAGGAACAGCTACTGCGTGTCCTTGACCAGTATGTACCTGTCAGGCAGGGAGGAAGTGGTCGAGTGAGGGGACCGTGGTTTACTAAAGAAGTTGAATCTCTTGTCAAGAGGAAGAAGGAGGCTTATGTAGAGATGAGGCGTGAAGGCTCAGTTAGGGCGCTTGAGAGTTACAAGTTAGCCAGGAAGGACCTAAAGAGAGAGCTAAGAAGAGCCAGGAGGGGACATGAGAAGTCTTTAGCAGGTAGGATCAAGGAAAACCCTAAAGCTTTCTATAGGTATGTCAGGAATAAAAGAATGACTAGAGTAAGATTGGGGCCGGTCAAGGACAGTAGTGGGAAGTTGTGCGTGGAGTCCAAAGAGATAGGAGAGGTGCTAAATGAATATTTTTCGTCAGTATTCACACAGGAAAAAGACAATGTAGTCGAGGAGAATACTGAGATACATTCTATTAGACTAGACGGGATTGAGGTTCATAAGGAGGAGTTGTTAGCAATTCTGGAAGGTGTGAAAATAGATAAGTCCCCTGGGCCAGATGGGATTTATCCTAGGATTCTCTGGTAAGCTAGAGAGGAGATTGCAGAGCCTTTGGCTTTGATCTTTATGTCGTCATTGTCTTCAGGAATAGTGCCAGAAGACTGGAGACGAGCAAATGTTGTCCCCTTGTTCAAGAAGGGGAGTAGAGACAACCCTGGTAATTATAGACCAGTGAGCCTTACTTCGGTTGTGGGTAAAGTGTTGGAAAGGATTATAAGAGATAGGATTTATAATCATCTAGAAAGGAATAATTTGATTAGGGATAGTCAACACGGTTTTGTGAAGGGTAGGTCGTGCCTCACAAACCTTATTGAGTTCTTTGAGAAGGTGACCAAACAGGTGGATGAGGGTAAAGCGGTTGATGTGGTGTATTTGGATTTCAGTAAAGCGTTTGATAAGGTTCCCCACGGTAGGCTATTGCAGAAAATACGGAGGCATGGGATTGAGGGTGATTTAGCGGTTTGGATCAGAAATTGGCTAGCTGTAAGAAGACAGAGGGTGGTGGTTGATGGGAAATGTTCATCCTGGAGTTCAGTTACTAGTGGCGTACCTCAAGGATCTGTTTTGGGGCCACTGCTGTTTGTCATTTTTATAAATGACCTGGATGAGGGCGTAGAAGGATGGGTTAGTAAATTTGCGGATGACACCAAAGTTGGTGGAGGTGTGGATAGTGCGGAAGGATGTTGCAGGTTACAGAGGGACATAGATAAGCTGCAGAGCTGGGCTGAGAGGTGGCAAATGGAGTTTAATGCGGAAAAGTGTGAGGTGATTCACTTTGGAAGGAGTAACAGGAATACAGAGTACTGGGCTAATGGTAAGATTCTTGGTAGTGTGGATGAGCAGAAAGATCTCGGTGTCCATGTGCATAGATCACTGAAAGTTGCCACCCAGGTTGATAGCGTTGTTAAGAAGGCGTACAGTATGTTAGGTTTTATTGGTAGAGGGATTGAGTTTCGGAGCCATGAGGTCATGTTGCAGCTGTACAAAACTCTGGTGCGGCCGCACTTGGAGTATGGCGTACAGTTCTGGTCACCGCATTATAGGAAGGATGTGGAAGCATTGGAAAGGGTGCAGAGGAGATTTACAAGGATGTTGCCTGGTATGGAGGGAAGGTCTTATGAGGAAAGGCTGAGGGTCTTGAGGCTGTTTTCGTTAGAGAAAAGAAGGTTAAGAGGTGACTTGATAGAGACATACAAGATGATCAAAGGATTAGATAGGGTGGACAGTGGGAGCCTTTTTCCTCGGATGGTGATGGCTAGCACGAGGGGACATAGCTTTAAATTGAGGGGTGATAGATATAGGACAGATGTCAGAGGTAGGTTCTTTACTCAGAGAGTAGTAAGGGCGTGGAATGCCCTGCCTGCAAAAATAGTAGACTCGCCCACTTTAAGGGCATTTAAATGGTCATTGGATAAACATATGGATGATAATGGAATAGTTTAGGTTAGATGAGCTTCAGATTGGTTTCACAGGTCGGCGCAACATCGAGGGCCGAAGGGCCTGTACTGCGCTGTAACCTTCTATGTTCTATGTTCTAGACACCTATCCTCAGACAGCAGCTTCCAAACTTGCAACCTCGAAGGATAGGGGCAGTAGATACATGGCAACACCACCACCTGCAAGTTCCCTCTAAGACACTCACCATCCTGACTTGGAAATACATCACCATTCCTATATTGTTATTGGGTCAAAATCCTGAACTCCATCCCTAACTGAATTGTGGTCTGTCACAACTCCCTGGAATAGTGTGCGGAAATCAAGCCCCACTACACTTAGAGTTGTCATAATTGCAAAAATGTCATTAAATCACTGGCTGCCCAATCTTACCTAACCAGAATTAGACAATTACAGCAATGTGCACTTCAGGTTTCTTATCATTAAGACAATAGCTTTATTGTAATCAAAATGTTTTTAACCAATGGCTAAAAAGAAACATGAATTACTAACATAAATTCCACCGCTATTTAAAATTCTAAAGCACATATAGACACACAAAGAAACAAGAGAAGGATATTTAGGGGTCAAAAATGGGAGAGAAAATAAACTTGGAGAAACAGTTTAATAGCACCACTCCAAGCCACTGGAGCTGGTGAATTATTTTCTTTTGGTTCCTTCCAGTTCTTTGCCGATGAGACGAGATTGTTTGTACGTCACTGCTGTCTTTCATTCTCTGGTCATGAATTTGCCCCCTTCAATGTCTCTGAAAGTTATTTTTCCACTTTTTCCTTCCAACAGGCAATTTGCAGGAAGAGTAGTTTACAGGGAAATGGCAGTGAGAGAAACTACTGGAAGATTTTCTGTTACTGCTCCTCAAAGGAGAAGGGATGGAGGGAGGGAGGGACGGATATACAGAGAGAGACACACAGACAGACAGGGTTGGGGAGGCCGAGACAGACAGAGAGAGGGAAATACAAAGATAGAGAGACACAGGCAGATAGAGAGAGAGAGAGAGCCATATTCAGAAAGGGAGACACACAGACAGACAGGGAGAGAGAGAGAGCAAGAAAGATAGATGGCCGGAACCAATTAAGTTGATGTAACTATGCCGAGCCCTCCAGAGCCCGGAGTCAGTTGAAAAATCATTCAAAAGACCGTCACTGAGCAAAACTGCAAACTGCTTCAACCACAAACAAAGAGAGCTGAGGTATCAAGCCTTCCCCACTGCTTGAAAAAGGCTATGGTGTAAATACAATTCACAATGTATTCCGTCACTCATTCTTAAAACATCAACATCTTATTCCACTATTTACTCTGTTTAAAGCAGTATCTTTTAGTCACCATTTTAGTCCGCTATCCAAAAATAATAAGTGGTCTTGACAGAAGGGCCCCACACCATATCTACAGCAATTCAAAAGAGTACCTCACCACCACCTCCCCCAGGGCAATCAGGGATGGGAAACAAATGCTGGCCCAGCAAACATTGCTCACAAGTTGTGAATAAAGGAAAGGCAAAGCCACATAAATTAATATCTGGAATTCATTTAAAATAGTGAAGTATTATTACTTAAAATTGTAATCAATTTCAAATTATATTTAAAAGCTGCAAAATTCCATTTCACAGCAAGTAAAACATTCCATCAGACTAAGCCCTCCTATAAATCAGGCATGTACAAGGAATTCTGTTTGCACAACAAGCTGATTCATTTGTCAATCCAAGGCAGTTACACCTACTGAAAGTCTGACAATATTAATGAGCCTTTCACATTCTGCAGTCTAATTGCAATGAAGGGGACCAGTGGCTCGATAGATCTTTCAGAGAGCCAGGACAGGCATGATGGACAGAGTGGCCTCTTCCTGTACTGTATGATTCTACGAACGTGGAACCATCTCTATTCCTCCATGTAGTCACTGCAACCTCTGTATCATATACAGTCTCTCTAACATGGTACTTACAAGCATGTTGATATCCAGCACCAAGTGGCACTCCCGGAACTTAGCAATCTCTTGCTCCAGCGTATCTAATAAGATCACTTGGTTCTGCCTAAAATAATTGAAATAATTGAAATCTTTTAGAAAGAAATAAAGTCTATTACTATTGTCAGTTCTATTTTAGACTCTGCTGGTTCCACAGATAACCATGCTGACTTCCACAGTTCATCAGTTGGCATTAATGGTTTTGTTTGTTTACTGGGAGTTGCTGACATTCTGCTACAACAAAGTGTGTAGTCAGAAGAAATCATTTGCACATATCCCAGCATTTACTGGACATAATCTCCATTAATGCCTGCCTTGGATACCAGACAGGTTAGACACAGGAAGTATATTCCCAATGATGAGGGAGTCCAGAATCAGGTGTTATAGTTTAAGATAAGGCGTAAACCATTTAGGAGATAGATAAGGAGAAATTTCTTCACCCAGTGAGTGGTTGTTTGTGGGATTCACTGCCAGACAAAGTGGTTGAGATTAAAACATTGTGTTTTCAAGGAAGCAGATATAGCTCTTGGGGCTAAAGGAATGAAGGGATATGGCAGGATTGGGGTACTGAGCTTGATGATCAGCCATGATCATATTGAATAGCAAAGCAGGCTTGAAGGATTAAATAGCCTAGTCCTACTCCTATTTTCAATTTTTTCAAATCAATTCCCCCCAGACGCTCTCACTCACCACCCCTCTCAGTGACCCTCCCATCTCGCCCCACTCTCAACTAGACACTCCCAATTCTCTGCTTTGGAAGTAGTTCAGAGCAAGTGTATCAGACTATACTTGGAATGGGATGGTTGTTTTCTGAAATTAGGTTGGACAGGCCAGGCTTCTATCTGTTACAGTATAGAAGAATAAGGGTTAACTTCATTAAAACATATAAAAGACTGACAGGTGTTGACAGTGTGGAAACTGAGGGGATGTTTCCTCTTATGGGAGAATCTTGAGCCAGGCATCACTGTTTAAAAATCATGTGTGTTCATTTAAAATGGGCATAAGACAATTTTCTTTCTCTCTCAGAGTCATCAATCTTGAGTTCTCTTACTGAAAAGGGATGGAAGCAGAATTTTTGAATATTTTTAAAATAGACGTTGATAGATTCTTGTTAAACAAGGAGGTGAAAGGTTCAGGTCGATAGAGCTGTGGATTTGAGGTTACAATCAGTTCAGTCATGATCTTATTGAATGATGCAACAGGCTGAATGGCCTGTATGTGTATATGTAAATTTGTATGGTCTGCTGTCTTTTCAAGGACTTGTCTGTCTGTGCCTCCCTTGATTTCCTAAGTAACTACACCTAACCTACCTCTCTCTTTATACAGATATAGAGAGGGGCACATGTATTGTACATATGTGTGCCTCGGTGCCCTTGTTCCTCACTCTCTGCACCAGGTATTCCAACTGTCAGGGAATTCTTAGTTACTCTGGCAAAGATATGTGGGAACATCACCTAACTGGAAGGCTTGTAGCAGGGGAAGGGGGAGGGGATTCCGTGAGGGGAATATCTCGACACAGATTTAGGGGTGAGGAGACAGCAGTTTAATGGGGTTTTGTGTGATGGTTTAGAATTTTGTGGGAATACTGTGCTGTGAAGAACTAACTGTCAGGCCACTGGAGGCAAGACTCTGTGTCTGACCAGCCAAATGGGTTCACCATTTTTAACAAGAGGAGAACTTCATATCGAAAAACTCCTGGATTAACAACTTCCAAAAGTTATTCTTGCTAATTTAAATACTGACCTATTTAAATGAAATGAGATCTGATGATTGCTGACAAGTAATGGGGATGTCAGCACCCATAGCGATATCATATCAAATCTTATATGTATCCATATCAGCCTTGTACCTCTGTTTTAAGATTTCCTCATGTGACTGCATCTTAGTTTATAGGTAATTTAATGTAAAGTAACATTTACTCAACATACAAGGGGAAACAATCAATAATTAACAATCAAAGATAAATACACTCAGAAACATACGTCAGTTCCTGGAGGGCAGTTTTTGATTGCTGTAGATTGGGGAGGTAGTGAGAGATCAGGCCCCCTGCCAGTTTTTCCACAGTTGCCTGATTCACAATGATTAACTCAGAGTTCTCAAAATCCATTCTGGATTCACCAGGGTCTACATCAAAGGAAAAAACAGAGAGTGAAGGATCATTAAAGTTATGAGACCATCATCCAAGATTGCAATATTGCAATCATCAATTCATGCACTACGTAAACTTGCACATTTTCTGTTTCAGGGCTAAGAGTGTCTTTCAATTTTTTAAAAAAAGTTTAGGTTCATTCTCATGTGCATAAAAGTGAGGCATAGAACAACTGATTTTTGTATTTTCGAACCTTCAATCAGTTCAATGTAGTTACAGGTCTGACAAAGTCAAGCTGTCTCTACTGTGACTCAATATGTGCTTTAATGAGACTAAAATGCCGGAGTCCTCCAACTGATTGGAGAACTACATCAATTTAATTGATGATGCAGGTCCCTTACTTTTTCTCTAAAATTGACCCCTCTTTGCTGTTAAGGTTTCGATGCCTTTGTTACTTGTAGGTTACTGTGCACCAGGACATACTATTGGCAAAACATCAGTCAATTTTACTGAGATAGTAGGAACTGCAGATGCTGGAGAATCCGAGACAACAAGGTGCAGGGCTGGATGAACACAGCAGGCCAAGCAGCATCATAGGAGCAGAGAGGCTGACGTTTACTTTCAGATGGGGCTCACATAGCAAGTTCCTTCAATCAATGAGAGGCATAGATAGGAAGAAATAAAGAAAAACAGAGAGTAAGTGGCAAAAATACAAGAGGGAGACTAAGCCTGAGGGGAAAGAGAGGGGCAGCAGGAGAGGGATAAAAGAGACACAGTGACCAATTTAGAGGCAGAGAGATAAAGAGGCAAACACATATCCCTTTCATCAATACTGCACTACAGAAAATGGCACAGGTTTCTATGTGTTACCTGACACCAAGAGTGCAATGACAGGAGTAGGGAGGAGAGGCAACAGGAGGATGATGGTTGTAGCAAGGCTGGAATCTAACCAATTTTGTGATGAAAATTTGACAAGTCATGCCCACACTTCACAGCCTTCAATTAACTTTTGCAGGGCAAGAGTAAACACTATCCCATATACCTCAATATTCTCCTTTCATTCATTTTTTGCAAAAACTATTCAATGAAACACTTACATTACGCACATTCTCATAATATTCTCAGTCACTAAATGGAGATATACAGTCAAGAAACAACTTGTTGCAATAAAAGTTAGACAATCCAACAACGACGATTAAAGTGCCAGCTACACTGAATACCAGCGCTCACTTCAGTAGTTCATTCAGCCTACATTATCAACCTCAATTCAGGGCACACAACAAGTAATTTAACAGGATAGTGGGAGCCTTGGGCTTGCAGCCCACTATGTCCTTCCCACACTATCATCCTGCTTCTAATTCTAACCCTCCAGCATCATCCTCGTCCCAGAATCAGCTGTTCAGGGAGACACTGTCTCTGAGGGAGGGGCATCCACTGCCAAGACAGAGCTGGGAAAGTGGAAGTTTAAGGGTTAATGCTCAAAAATAATGAAGACATTAATAACTCTTGCTAACTTTGTCCAACCTGCTCGTCTTACCTTTTGTGAGGTTCTGTTCTGGAGATATGCTTGGACTGGTGTTCCCTGGCTCCATGGCTTCCTGACACTTGCTGTTTTTTTTACAAAAACAATAATGCATAAAGGATCAGTAAACAGCAATTGCATTCAACAGCTTTTCCATCAGTTGTAATATCTTTTCCCACAAATTATACTACAACCCCACTCTGTTACAACGATAATGCACAAACATGGTGTCATATTTCACCCAGACAGTGGTGAGCCTCTGGAATTCCCTGCCACAGAAAGTGGTTGAGGCCAAAAATATAGTTCTTAGAGTGAAAGGGATCAAAGGGTACGTGGAAAAGGCAGAAAGAGGAGACTCAGTTAGATTATCAGCCATGACCATATTGAATGGTGGAGAAGGCTTGATCTACTGAATAGCCCACTCCTGCTCCTGTTTTCTGTTTCTATTGAATGGGTGGGCTGTCTTACGAGGCGAGGCTTGTAACTGCTGGACTTCAGAAGAGTATAAAGTGACTTCATTGAAACATACAAGATCTTGAGGAGTCTTGACAGATTGGATGTGGACAGGGGTGATCCATTTTAAACAGAGATGAGGAGAATTTCTTTTTTTCTCTGGGGATGGAGCTATCCTCCTGAAATAGCAGTGGAAGGAGACTCTTTCAATTTTTTTAAGGGGAGGTGGATAGATTCTTACTAAGTGAGAGCTGAAAGGTTATCGGAGACACGTGGGAATGCCAATTTGGGATTACAATGTGATTAGTCATGATCTCATTGCATTTTGGAGCAGGCTTGAGGGGCGAAGAGTCTACTCCTGCTCCCAGTTTCTATAAACTCAATATCCCTGGAATATTCCAGCATAGTTCCAGTTGCTCTCCCACTCTCCACTGCTGGTGTCTTGGATCACGTGGCTGGGAGGGCCTGCTGAACCACCAGCTCCCGGCACCAACCTTCAAACGCCTTGAGAGCCTTGACTCTGTCTATCCCCAGTCCCCAAACCCCCTCTGCCCATCACCTCAACCCCCAATACTCCCCATATACCCCCACACCTCTATCCCCAAACCCTCTCGGCCCATCACCTCAACCCCCAATACACCCCATATACCCCCACACCTCTATCCCCAA